ATAGCTAAGATAATGGGGAAGACAGAGCGGGTATGGCTTTCTATAGTACAAATCTTTAGAAAATTCATTTTGCCCATATTTGGGTACAAGTGACTAATATCTATTCATTTAAGTTCCAGTTTGCCATATAGAATGGGACTATGATTCTGTCAGCCCAGCTTCCGGAGTGCTGCAAGTTGTTTTATAGACCAGAACGAATGGTGGGACGCACAGAAGCACTTGACATATTTAAAACCTCCAGCATGAATCCTTCTGCTCCCGTTGACCTTTTATAGCAGTACCGTGAGATGCATTGAGTGGCTGGGATGAAATGACACTTTCTAGAATAACAGGCTGGAGGCCCATAGCCCTCTTGTTATTTTCAGTAGGCCCCAGGTGACCTAGCATGCAATGTAGTGAGTTATGGGGATGGCCCGCTAAATATCAAGCTGATAAAGTTATGGGCTTTCTCAGCCAGCGTTCTGTGTGACACCTCTAGTTACATGTTCTAAAATATATGTGCCATAGCTAGACTTGCAGCCAGCATACCACAAGCTTCCCAAGTCAGCCTTAAAGAGAACTTAGTCCTCTTTCTCTGTATGCCTTGAGAAGGCTTGCTAGAACACTGGCAACACAGACTATAGATCACTAGGCAAAAGGTCAAAGCATGAACTTTTGAAACAGAAAGAAACCATTCATAGTTCAATCCTTAAGTTTGTAGGTTGATTTTCAATTTGTTTTCTTTGATATAAAAGACTATTTAGCTATAAAAAGATCACCTGCCACAAAGGATTCAACGTGTATTGAGCCGAGGCAAAGAACTTTATATTGTAATTTAGATTTTTGAAAAATGCGGAAACGGTAGAATAGATATTTACTTTCTCATTCATAAATGATTAGCAATAGTGGCTTTTTATTGATCGGAATAAGTCAAGCAGAAGCTGTTTCCTGTCTGAGCAGAGAGACACAGGGGTAGTGGAGTTCTCTTCTGGGTTTATGGCTGTGTCCACTTAGACTTGGGCAGTCCTTGAAACATTTGTGTGGAAGCTATCTTGGGCTTAAAGGTAGATTTAAACAAAACTGATTAAGTTTGAGTTTAATTTCAAAGTCTGCTATTGATACTAGAAATATCTAGTAAAAGTCCGTTGTTTTTTGTTTATAAAAAAGATGATTGCATATGTGAAGTTATTTTAGTATAGATTATATAGTCATCTTTGCATGGTAGTACAGGACCATGAAAATGATCGTGCAAGCTAATGCAAAATGGCCATGTGCAAAATGATCTTATTAATCAATGAATTATTAAGTTCCATGACCTTGAAAACGTTTTTTATTAAAACTCTTCTACTGTAGGTTATAAATGTAGATGGAAATGGAAAAAAATAGTAAAGCTAATATTTAATTAGTGCCCTGTAATTGAAAATGTTAGAAACACTGAGAATTAAAGTGTTTTGTTTCTCTGAGTAGAACTTATCAAGAGTAGTTAGAACATGTTTGCTTTCTTCTCACTGTATAACATGATATGGAGTATTTTTTCTTTGCCTTAGTCAGTTGTCATACTCCTTTCCACGTCTGGATCAGCTGCCAACATCTTACCCGTTGTGCTTTCAGAGCTGTCCGGGGGTTCCTTTAATGTCACTTCCTCTGGCACATCATCATCCTTTTCACCACAACCACTTTCCAATTTCACTTCCAATGTTAACCGCCTGTCATTTTTTTGCGGCACTTTTTGTCGTTGACCCTTTTAATTATCCACTTCTGTGAAATGTTATTGATTTTATCACTGCGCGATGAGGAGGCAACACAACGACATGCTTCCCTGTCTGTGCGTGAACTGAGAACAGATGTGCAGGGATCAGTCACCAGCAGACTTTGAAGGAAGTGACATGATTGGTTACTGATCACCATACACATCTGTTATCCACGCAGTGTTTGTGGACCAAAGAGCTAGCAGTGAAGTTTGTACTTTATGCAATTACTCACAGCTAATACACTATGGCAATTGACGTTTGAACCATACTGTTGGGGGACTGGTGTTATTTAAACTGCGGAAACTGAAATTCATGCATATTGGAACCATGCAGAGCGAGTGGTGCCTGTATTCCGGTTATAAATTATTTGTAGTACATTTCAATCTTGGCCTGGCTCCCCTTGCCCATGACACATTGAATCCATCCCGGGTAGCCAAGCTGTGATTTAGAAATTCGGTTCAGAGTTGACGTGAGAGTTATGAAGTCTTTGACTCAACCTTGGAGTCCACTTTGACTCGCTTCTCTTACCCGGCACCTCAGAGGACATCGGCCCTGGAGAAAGCTTACTTCAGACCCCGTTCAGCAAGGGCAGTTTTGGCTTGAACCGCCCCATCGATGCTGGACACACTTTCTTGCCCTTGGTCATTTTTTTGGCTCCCCTTCCTCCTCCACTGTCTGAACTCTCCCTTGGCCTGCTGTTCACTCTCTGTCCCGTCTTCATGTTGCATCGATTCTCCCTCTGTCATTGTGGTGCTTTGTGTTTCTTTCAACTCTTGTTGCCATCATCCTCATCCATGTGTTTTTCAGCTTGTATTTTAATGGTCTCCTAACTGGCTTCTCCACCTAGTCACTCTCCATCGCAACTAATCCATCACGAGTCATCTTCCTGGAATACTCTCTCAGCCTTGTTTAGTTCTCTCCTTGGAGTTTCAAAAATAACTTAATAATTACAAAATAAAATCCAAACGTTTTATTGGGCCTTGATCCATTGGCTGACACAAGCCTCTACCTTCTATTTATCACTTGACTCCTCCCCCTCAGGAATCTGAGGTTTCAACAGAAAATTTTCTCATTATCTCCCAAATATGCCTGCCTCCCGTCCTTTTCACATACTGTCCTCCTAGGAAGCAGTCCATTGTTTTTCTGAATCTTGCCCAGTTTCAAAGACTTACCCCAAATGATCCCTCCTACTAAGTCTACTTTGATTTCCCAGAAATGACTCCCCCTTCTCTGAAGTTCCAAACGATTTGTAGTTTATATTTTCCAACTGTCACATATTTGGTGATCTGTGTTTTTAGTTAGCATGTATTATCTAATCTCTCCAGTTAGTGCTTACGGTCTTGAGGGCAGGGACTGAATCTTCTGTAGCACCTACAATGGTATTTGAGTGGTAGGCATACATTTTTCATCCAGTACTATTTTGAGCTGCAGCATTTCTTCTAGAAGCTGAGTTGCATGTTAGGGGTAAACAAAAGATGAGGTCTCTGACCTCACAGAGCTCTAGTTGAATGAGGCATACAGGAAGGTCATCAGGCACTAAGCTAAGTGGCAGGATGGGCAGTGAATGAGAGTCCTTGGAGGCCTAGATAGGCACCAAACCTAGATGAGAGGCAATAGCAAATGCTTCTAGAAGATGTGAGGTTTAAGCAGAGTCTGAAAGATAAGTAGGAGTTTGATGGGTGAGGGGGCTGAATGGAACGAGTGTTCCAGGCCAAGGACACAGCATGGATAAAGCTTTCGGGGGGCAAGAGGGCCTTACACATTGAGGAACTGAATAAAGCTCCATGTAGCTAGATTGTAGGGAATGAGGTGAGACTCATAAGTGAAGACGAATTAAAGGGAACAGGGGCCCTGTGATGGGAAAGAAGTGCACATATTTGATGGATGTTGAGAAGGGAGGACTTCCAGGACTGGGAGTATGGATGGGCCAGGTGACAGAGCTGTTAAGGACCACTAACTCGGTGAATGGAGACATTGGAGAGAAGATGATGAGTTACGTTTTGGACATGTTGAGTTTGAGATGTCTGTGGAATATCTATGTGAAAATGTGTAGTAGTAATTTGGAGCACAGCAGAAATCTCTTGCTAGGAAATAGAAATTTGGGAATTGTCACATATGACAGGTTGAAATCATAGAGGAAGAGCGTGTAGAGATAGTAAAAAAGAGGATTTTAAGACCAAATCTTAAAGCATATCAGTGTTTAAAGGGCAAATAAAGAGTAGATTCTGTAAAGAATGTTAAGAGGGAAAGGGCAAAGAAGAAGGATCAAAATAGATGAGTGAGATGTCATGGAAACCGAGGGAAGACTGAAATTGTCCATTTGATTCAGCAATGTGACCATTAGTGGCTTCAGGAAGAGTAGTTTCTGTAGAAGAGGGGCGGGGAAAGGGAGTGTGTGGAGAAGTGAACAGACAATTCTTTTGGAAAGTTTAATCGTGGAAGGAAATGGAGTTGAGGGGTTTTTATTTTTTAAGCTGGTGGAAACCTGCTCATGTGTAAAGGCCAATAGGAAGAATTCATTAGTGATAAAGAGGTTGGCCATAAGCTGAATTTCATCAGAATTTAAAACACCTCTGAAAATGCCTTACCCAGTGTGCCCTTTTATCTTTCGGTATTCTAAATAAATTACATTCCAAACTACTAATCATTCTGTGTCTTTAGGTTTCACTGTGGTCTTGTTATCCCAGTGAGATGGCAAATTCTGGGAAAGCAAGATTCAAACTCTTCTACTCCCTTATTCAGATTATATTCTCAACAGGTATTATTTTTAGTATTCTCATTTGTTTATTCTTTGAGGAAATGTTTAATGTCCACTGTGTACCAGGCATTATTCTAATTGCTGAGAATGTAAAGGTTACTAAGCCAAACATATCCTTTTCTCAAGAGTTTATAATCTAGAGAGACAGCTAATAAACTAGAAATTGAATAGGAAAAAGTAATTACAGAATGTGAGAGATACTCAAAGGGCACTGTGAGACCGTAATCCTCAGTGGCTCCTTTATATATTCTTTTCCCATGAATTCTCTCCATTGTTGGGGGAGAGCACCGCAAGGAACTGGAGAATTAAATGACTTAGGATGGAAAAACAAAGACCATGAATAATAGAGACCTTTTTTGCCAACGTGTAGTTACTTCTTCGTTTACTGTTTCAAAGTCAGTAGAAATATGATGGCTGTAATGGTGCTGTGTTTCTGGAAGTTTTGTTGGTTGACTGTGATTTAGCATTTGAGAAACTAACCGATTCTCCACAATTTCTCTTTTCCCTTTCAGTAATTTGCCATCTTCCATGTATGAATGGTGGCCAGTGCAGCTCAAGGGACAAATGCCAGTGCCCTCCAAACTTCACGGGGAAGCTTTGCCAGATTCCAGTCCATGGTGCCAGCGTTCCTAAACTTTATCAGCATTCCCAGCAGTCAGGCAAGGCGCTGGGAACGCATGTCGTCCACTCTACACATACCTTGCCTCTGACGATGACGAGTCAGCAAGGAGTCAAAGGTAAGCTTAAGATTTTGATTTTTCCCATTCGTCAGACCTCTGCTAGCCTGCCAAACCCACAGAAGCCAAGTACCTGCAGATGGCCAGGGCTGGTATTGAAACAGAAAGGAGGATGTGACCTGTGGCTTGAGAAATGACGGTAGGGACAGAATGTGGGCCCAGGTATGTGGCTGAAGTGCTTTCTAGGCCATAGAGATTTGGTATCTAAGAAATAGAAAACAAAAAGGAGTCTATCCTTCTCTGATGACTCATAGCGCCCAGAGCTGATGAATGTGCCTGGCCTGTTCTGGCCGGGCCTGGGGCATGGAAAGACGAGTTGGAAATTTGGGGCCCGTATAGCATTAATGAGCTAGTGATCACACTGGTCCTGCTGATGAGCACAAGTGTATTTAATAGTTGAAGAGTGCCTGGTTTTAGTTCTAAATGATCACTTAACCTCACTGGGTTTCAGTATATTCTTCTGTAGAGGAAGGTAAACTAGGTCACTTGGAGCTCAGGAATTCTGTGACTCATTCATTCTTTTAAACCTGGCGTCTCTTAGACGTGCACAGTTTTTTAAAAAAAGGGGTCAGAGAGCGTTACTGGCTGTTATTCTTTAAAACCTGAATGTTAGCATCAGAAGATGAAATTGTGTCTGAAAGTGGCAGAAAGTGAGTCTTGTTACAGATATAAAATAGCTCACTTTGGTATTTCGTGTGTGTCCCAATAAGCACCAACGTATATCCACAATATGTTATTTAAGGGCAAGAGAACTGTGCTCTGTGAAATTGTGTTTCCTCTTTTAGTGTAGAAAAGTATATTCCACAACTTTGCAATCGGAACTTAATGAGAAGTTCAAAAGTAATCCAACTTCTGAGTCTTTATTACTATTATTTGATAAAATGTACCTCCCCAAAAGCTGCATGAATTTCATACTTTTATGACTCACCTGAAAAAATTATCTTAGTGAATATGTTACTGCGAGAGGTTTTAATTTCTCTTTGTAATTAGTTGATTTTTTAAAACATAAATTCAGATTTAATTTTTATTTTAAATGTATCCTTTGATTCTCACTTATTTTGATGGCTGTGTGGCAAATATATGTATACATTGCATTTGTATAATTTTTCCTATGTATAATACATATGTGTATAAGTATATATGTGTAAAATTGACTTACACGCTGACTCGCATGCTAATTCGTCATGATTAACAAGTCTTTACTCCCAATCTGTTTCAGTGAAATTTCCTCCCAACATAGTCAATATCCACGTGAAGCACCCCCCAGAGGCCTCAGTCCAGATACATCAGGTTTCAAGAATCGATGGTCCAACTGGCCAGAAGGTAAAAGAAGCCCAACCAGGCCAATCCCAGATCTCTTACCAAGGGCTTCCCGTCCAGAAGACCCAGACCGTCCACTCCACGTACTCCCACCAGCAAGTCATTCCTCACATCTATCCTGTGGCTGCGAAGACCCAGCTTGGCCGCTGCTTCCAGGAAACCGTCGGGTCCCAGGTGAGCAACACTGCCCAGCCTGTTTCCGCAGTGCTTTCTAGAAAAGTCTCATTTTCACAGGAAAGCCAGACGTGGTAAAATGACTTTCTATAGAAGGGCTTGGCCAACTGACCCATGGGCCTGTTTTTGTAAATAAAGTTTTATTGGAACGCAGCCACATCCATTCATTTACATATTGCCTGTCCTGCTTTCAGGCTTTTAACAGTAGAATGGCTCGGTTTCAACCAGATCGTATGATCTGCAAAGCCTAAAATATGGTCGGCAAGGCCCTTTACAGAAAAAGCTTTCCAACCTCTGCTCTGTAAGATAATGTTTAAGTAGTGACCTTCCAGAAACACTGCTGGATGTCCCCGACTGCTGTTTCTGTTTTCCAGTCAAGTTGATCTGTGTGTAAAACATGTGACAGGCTTGAGATATATTCTGCAAAGGCTTTGAAAATACTTATGCCTTTTTGTAGTAGTTGCAGGTTAATAGGTGTAGTTGGGTTTGAACCCATCACACAATAATAATTTGTGATCTTTTATTTTCTTTATAAAAACTCATAACTGGGTTGGCAATGACTGAGATGTTTGAAGTGCATTTTAAATAGCACTGGATTTACATGTAACTTTAGGCCTATATCTATATCATAAAGTAGACGGGAGGCTGATTTTCCTTTAAAACTCATCATTGCAAGTGCTCAATGAAGGCAACAAAAATGTTGGCTCTTTTACCCAAACCACATGGTGCTGACTGCTTTGGGATTATGTGGTTATGACATAGCTTTGTCCTGTGGTTCTCCTCCTGTCACTTGATCATGATTTCAGCCTCACATGAGAAGAGTAAGTGAGGTGAATTTATTATGTCTCTCTTCTTACCTGAATATTGAAAGAATATTGTGTGATTGTGTGTGTGAAATATTTGGGGTTAATAAGAATCAATTGTTGTTGCTTTAGAAACCTGGAAAATACTTTTAGGTTCTGAGCAAGTCCATGGTAGAGTTATCACCTTTCTCCCAGGGAAAGAAGGCAAAATTGGTTTGTAGACCCGAGTGGAAAGAGCACCCATATGGAGTTATACGATCGTGGTTATAACTAGGGGCCCAGACCTTGGTAGCAGGGAACCAGCTTTTTTATCTGTAAGGTGGAGACAAGAATATTGGGTTTTGTTAAGATTAGACAAGGTAATCTGAGCACTGTTTTGCAAATGTTGTAAAACTATGCAAATGCTAGCTTAGAAGATACTCATCTATCCATAGTCTCAAACTTAATAATAGTCAGTGATTGTTTATGTCATGTAACTTCAGTAAGGCAGGGAAGGCTTGATCTCCTCAAACACAATCTTCATTGTGTAGTAGTAGTTGCCAGTTAATAGGTTAATAGGTGTAGCCCTCAGATGCTTGAAATGCCTCCTAAACCTGCCACAGCTTTTGAAGACCACGTTTAAGCAAATGCTTTTTGGGAGAAGGAACAGGATTGATTTAAGTTTAGCTTTGAAGTAAAGTCTTGATGGTTGTGCTAAGAGCAGCTTTTTATAGGGGCAGTGGGGCTGAAGATATACTTCATGCACTTCACAAATTGTGCCCTGGACCAGCTTTGGAGAGAGAGGATGAATTTGGTGCCATTTGCATTGTTTAGTCATTTCACCTTAGTTTGGTTATGAGGAAGGAAAAAACAGATCCTTTTAAAATTGTGTGCCCAGTGCCTTTCCCCCGTTTCCAAGTTGGAACACAGATGATAAAAAGCAAGAAAATGAAGTATTCACAAACTTGTTATTCTTGTGTAATATTAGGCCGAAATGTGCTAACTAAAAAAGATTAAGGCATTATTTACTTTTCAGCCTATGCTGGACCATATAATTAAAGTGAATTGGCTAATTGGGGGAGTTATTTAAATAATTCAAACTCAATGGAATACTTCTGCTTTATCTGCATGCCTCTCTGGCATTCAGTCTGAATGATCCAGACAGCGATCTCGAGTCTTAATTCTTTTTGCAGGTGTAGTCACTAATATGAAGCTTCAAAATAAGACCTGGTTTTAGAAAACATTCTTAGTATATATTTGTCTCCTGTTGGTGAGACACGGTGCTGGATGTCTATGATCGCCAGATTAATTAGTGCAATTAGGATGATCCAAATTATAGAAAATAATAATGAACAATCTTGAAAAAAATACATTACTGGTGAATAGTTAGTAGTATATAAGATGTATCCTACAAAGATGTTTGAAAACATTTGTGCTTTCTTGCTATGGTTAGTTTGCATACCCAGCTAGAGGGGGAGGTATAGGTAGATTTTATATGAATGGTAAAGCCAGGCCCGAGTAGCTCAGTGGTTGAGCATCACCATATGAACCATGAGATCAAGGTTTGATTCCTGGTCAGGACACATGCTCAGGTTTCAGGCTCAATCCCTATAAGGGGGTGTGCAGGAGGCAGCCGATCAATGATTCTCTTTCATCATTGATATTTCTATCGCTCTCTCTCTCTCTCCCTTACATTCTGAAACCAATTAAAAATATATATTAAAAAAGGATGTTCTAAATGAATGGTAAAAACAGCTGCATAAATGCTCACTAGTGCTTTGCTCATGGCAATAGTCTTATTAGCTGCAGATTTCAACTGTTGAGACTTACAATGCCATGGAGTTATCAGTAAGCATCTATGTTTATGTGCTACAATAAGAGGGTATATACAAAACAAATTTGGCAGAAATAGGCCTTGTTTCTGTGGCACAGTCTAATAATTAAGCAGAAAGCTTGGAGTTGAGAACCCAGCATGAACTGTGATTAATGTATTTACTAGTAAGTTCTGGGAAGCTTCATAGAATAGAGTTTCACAAATTGCTTGGGTGATGGAGGAAAATGGGCAATTGGTTAGGAAGCCAAAGTCACAGAGAAAAGGGGGAGGATAATTAAACAGAGGAAAGAGAATTTGGCAAGAAATGGGTGAGGAAGAAGTATCAGAGAGACTGGAGATGTGAACTGGCTCAGGATTCCTGGCAGATGTTTGCACAGCATGGAGCCTCGTAAACCCGAGGCACAGGGCCATCTAAATGACTTGGTGTCAAGGCAGAATAGTGGGAAGCCCCCTTGATCAAGTGATCAAACTCAGAATCATTAAAAGTGGGACAACTGACCTCATGTGCCTCCTGATGTGATCCAGTATGAACTTTGCATATCACCCTAAAACTAACCATGCCAAATATGTTTAATCTGAGTCTCACCAAGCCTTTACACCTAACCCCAACTGATAGGGAGTATTGAGGGTAAAGAAACAAGCCAAAAATATAACCCCTACTCACCCCCATCAGGCAGATTCATAATATACGATATTATTGCCCGGTTTCTTAAGAAAAAATCATACAATGGGAAAAAAGTAGAATGACTTTTCTAGAAAGAAACTAAAGAGTCACAACAACAAAAGCCAACCCACCTCTAGAAGATATTTGGGGAACAATTGGGGAAATTTAATGTAGACTAGATACTAGATGATATTTTGGAATTATTAATTTTTTAGGTGTGATAATGGTATTAGGGTTTGTAGGACAGTGTTTTTATTTTTGAAAGATAAATGAAAAACTTAGGGTAAAATGCCGTTATGTCTATAATTTATCTTCAAATGCATTTACACACAAATATTGTAACATTGTAACAATTGTTTACTCTGAGAAGTGGGTATATAAGGTCGTTGTAGTATCAAATATCTCAGCATATTTGAACTTTTCTTATGGGGATAAAAAGGGGGAAACATTAAAATTTTCAAAATGTACAAATATAGGCATACTTCCTTTTATTGTGCTTCATTATATTGTGCTTCCCAGATACTGAATTTTTTATAAATTGAAAGTTTGTGGCAACCCAGCATTGAGCAAGTCTATTGGCACTGTTTTTCCAACAGACTTAGATGAAAGTTAGCATTTTTTTTTAGCAATACAGTATTTTAAATTAAGGTACGTATATTTTTAGACTTAATGCTGTTGCACACTTGATAGACAACAGTACAGTCTAAATATAATTTTATGTGTACTGGAAAACCAAAAAATTCATGTGACTAACTTTATTGCAATATTTGCTTCATTGTGGAGGTCTGGAACTGAAGCTGCAATATCTCTGAGATATGCCTGTAGAATAATATAATTTTAAGCTGATTTTAAAAGTTGTAACTTTAAAGAGCTAATGAATTTTTAGAAAATAATTTAAAATGTTTCACGTTCTGAATGAATGGGGTGGGTAGGTCGATGTGGGGTAGACATGAGGAGGCCAGGGAAGAGAAGTTGGCTTTGGTCCAATTGTGAAATGATCAGGGTCTAATCTAGGAGAAAAGTTGAAAATAAAGATATGACAATAAGGGCTTTTGCAAAGAATCAAGCATCAGGATTTGATTATGGGCTGCTGTGAAGAAAAAGATGGTGATGAGTTGGACTATTCTGAATTCCCTTGCTTCAGAAATCAGATAAATGCTCGCTATGATTGATTAACTAACTGGCCCTTGGGGGAGGATTGTGAGATGAAGATGAGTAGCTACATCTTGTTTTAAGCAGCCTCATTCTTGAATGACATTAAGAGTGGTGTATTCTTGGATATCAATTGGGAAATCCAAAGCTGTGTTAGAGATGGAGTGAAAGAGGATTAATGGAGAAAAGTCAGTGGTTAGGTGAATAGATCTAGTGATGATAGATTCATGAGAACAGAGGACATTTCTTTGGCATGTATATAAAGAGAAAAGAACAGGAATATTGGAATCAGAAACAACTATAATGTTTCCCACCTTGACAGTGTCAAGATATGGGGTGGAAGGGACCCTTCCTATTGTGGAAAGCGATGTTTGATCTCTCAGTGTCCTAATAATAATTTCTGAGTCTTAACATCATATAAAGTATTGATTTTTATGTGCATTGGGCTAGGTACAGACATCATTTAATTTCCTTTAAAGTATTAAAATAATAGAAATTAATCCAATAAATATATGGGGTGGCTTGGAGGAGGAATTGGATTCTTGAATGTAAATCAAGTTTCAAGTAC